TCAAGGACAGCTCTTATCAGAACTACGGCTTGCCCAAGGACATCCAGCAGGTGTAAGCGGAGGAGTGGGGAATCAAACCCGGCTCTCCCAGATTAGAGTCCGCGCACTTAACCGCTACACAAAACAAGTAGATGGCACAGAGATCCTGAAAAATCCATATCCTCAATAGGTTAATTGGCACCCAGATCGCAACGGCTGGATTCTCTCCCTGGCAGCCTCCGGGGTCTTGTAGCTTTCTCCCTCGTGGCCCTGGGGTTTCTTGGGATGCCATAGAGACACACCAGCACGTCTTAGCATCTAATGTATCTGCTGCATGTCATGAAACACAGCTTGGCCACTATGTTAGTCACCAGTGGGTGGCCACGTTGAAGGGTGATATTCGAATCTAGTAGCACCTTTGAGACCAGCAACATTTTCCCAGGATGTAAGCTTTGGAGAGTCGACGTTCCCTTCATCAGATATAAGTAGGAAGGGAGATCCATAGGCCAGTTTGAGCCAGTTTGGCGTAGTGGTTAAGAGCGGCAGACTCTAATCTGGGAGAACCGGGTTTGATTCCCCACTTCTCCACTTGCACCTGCTGGATGACCTTGAGCCAGTCACAAGTTCTCTCAGAGCTGTTCTCCCAAGGACAGTTCTGGAAAGAGCTCTCTCAGCCCTGCCTACCTCACAGGGTGTCTGTTGTGGGGAGGGGAAGGGGAATGAGTTTGTAAGCCACCCTGTGACTCTGAATGAAGGGCGGGGTGTAAATCCAATTTCTTCTTCTTCCCTTTCTTCTTCTGTCCCAGTCAAAAGGTGGGAGGATGTTTGCATTGCATCCTGACTCCCTTCTTTACAACCCCCCCACACCTTCCGACTGGTATATAGGGGCTCAGGGATCTACATCTGACAGCGGGAGTTTTGACTCTTGAGATCTGATACCCTGGGAAATCCACCATGGAGCTCGCTAGGTGACCTTGGCCCGGTCACTATCTTCGCTTCCTAACCTACCTCACAGGGCTGCTATGAAGATATTCATCTCTGACCTTAATATTTTGTCACACGGACAGGGAAGGAACAGAGAAAAGTAAAGTATCTTCTTACTTCTGTTCTCCCCATGCTTGGTGTTCTTCTGAACCTGGATTATTTTTGCACTCACCCCGCTTCTTGGCAGGCCTGTCGCTATGGTGGGACTTTTGGGGTCTCCACCCCCTTGCTTAGAGGCACAGCCCCAAAATAATTTCTCCTGTAAATGCTTTTTTTCAATCATTTTAAAACATTTTTAAAGGTGTGCGCTCCTTTAAGCAGCGTGGGGTGCTGTGGTTGACTAATTCCCGCACGCAGCAAGGAGGGTTGGAGTAGGTGACCTCTAGGACCCCTTCTAACTCTGTGTCAAGAAACTGGTCTCCTTTCGGAGAGTTTTTCTGTCTTAAGTGTTGGCTTTCTCGACTATAGAAGTCATCACCCCCACCTGCCGGCTTGTTATCCGAATTGTTGCTCAGGCTGGCAGGAGTGATTAACCAGAGTCAGTTCGGTGTAGTGGCTAAGTGCACGGACTCTAATCTGGAGAACCTGGTTTGGAGGGTGGACTCTGGCATTATATCCTTCTGAGGGTGAACCCCCCCCCCCCCCCCAATCTCCAGGATTTCCCAAACCTGGAGTCAGCCGCCTTAGTCATCGAATCATAGAGCTGGAAGTGACCTCCAGGGTCATCTAGTCCAACCCCTTGCACAATGCAGGAAATTCACAAATACTTCCTCCCCCACACCCCCAGTGACCCCTGTTCCACACCCAGAAAATGACAAAAAAAAAACCCTCCAAGATCTCTGGGCAAACTGGCCTGGACAAAAATTACTTCCTGACCCCAAAGTGGCGATCGGCATTTCCCTGGGCGTGTAAGAAAGGGCCACGAGAACTAAGCACTGAGGCAACCCTTCCTGCCCTCCCTCTCGTGATCTGCCTAAGTTCACACAATCAGCATTCCTTTGGCTGGAGTCATCTCCTCGCCCTTAAGACCCACTGTAGGAGTTCCCCGCTGTCATGGAGAGCCTTCTCCACCCCCTTGGTCATGGCAGTTCACTTTAGGCCCAATCTGTCAAATACCATGAGTCACGACTGAGCTCACCACTCTATTTTGAGCGGCTACGGCAGGGCCTGTCCGAGCCCAAATTCCCAAACTGGAAGAGGGAGGGCTGTCCTGACTTACCAGCTGATGGGGCCAGGTGCAGGAAGTCCAGATCACATGGTCTGGCAGCACAGAGGGGGCAGCTGGGTTAGAACCATAGAGTTGGATGGGTCGCTAGAGGGCATCCAGTCCAACCCCCTGCTCAATGCAGGATCAGCCTAGAGCAGTGATGGCGAACCTTTTAGAGACCGAGTGGCCAAACTGCGACCCAAAACCCGCTTATTTATCGCAAAGGGCCTACACGGCAATTTAACCTGAAGACTGAGGTTTTACTTTAGAAAAAACAACCCATACATTAACTTAAGATGATCCAAGCAAAGTAAGGAAACCAATCCCAAATGCTTTCGTTTACTTAAAATACTCACCAAAAAAAGAGAGCAGTCATGTCTCCCCCCCTCCACACACACACACACACGCCTCTTCCTCTCCAGACTGACCATTCCCAAGTCCCTCAGCCTTTCCTCACAGGGCTTCTTGGTCTCCGGGCCCCCGATCATCCTCGCCGCTCCCCTCTGCACCCGCTCCATTCTGCCCACATCCTTTTTGAAGTGAGGCCTCCAGAACTGCACACAGGACTCCAGGTGTGGCCTGACCAATGTGGTGTGCAACAGGACTCTGACATCTTGCGATTTGGATGTTATGTGTATGTTATGCCGAGACCACATTAGCCTTTTTTGCCGCAGCATCACGCAGTGGGCTCAATGAGTTGGGGCAGACCTGTTCAGCACAGTTGAGCAGGCATGGGATTGGCCGTCCCACCCCCCGCTTGGAACGCCTTTCTTCCTCCAGCCAGCCATCCCAGTGACACCCAGGCCTGACCCTTCTGTCTCCCAGTTCGAGCCCCACCCTGCCTGGCAAGTAAGTCCAGCCCAGCAAAAATGGGAGGTAGGTCCAGAGAGGAGGGAATGGAAAGCGAAGGTCAGCCTTTCCCCCAGGAGTCTGGCTAGCGGTTTGCTGAGTCAATCGATGGTGATTCAAGGACTTTGAGCCACTGGGACAGAGAACGTTGTCTGCATTCTGCACAAGCCAACCCTTATTCTTCCACCATTTCTGATAACATGGAGATGTAATTGGGGGGGGGGGGTGTCCCCAAGCAGTGTTCCCTCTAAGCTGAGTTGGTGTGAGCTAGCTCACAGTTTTTTAGCCTCTGGCTCACAGGACTCTAATCTGGGAGAACTGGGTTTGATTCCCCACTCCTCCACTTGCACCTGCTGATGTGACCTTGGGTCAGTCACAAGCTCTGGCACAGCTGTCCTTGAAAAAGAGCAGTTTGTGTCAGAGTTCTCTCAGCCCCACCCACCTCACAGGGTGTCTGTTGTGGGGAGGGGAAGGGAAAGGAGTTTGTAAGCCGCTCTGAGACACCTTCGGGGAGTGAAGGGCGGGGTATAAATCCAATCTCTTCTTCTTCTTCTTCTAAGCTGAGTCAGTGTGAGCTAGCTCACAGTTTTTTAGCCTCCCGCTCACAGATTTTGGTCTTAGCTCAGGAAGGAGGGCTCCAGAGCAGACTAACCAGTGTTCCCTCTAAGCTGAGTTGGTGTGAGCTAGCTCACAGTTTTTTAGCCTCCGGCTCACACCTTTTTGTCTTGGCTCAGGAAGGATGGCTCCAGAGCAGACTCATTTATGCGGCAGCCAAATCGCCCGCTCACAACTTGAATGCCAGCAGCTCACGAAGCAGAACTTTTGCTCACAAGGCTCCACAGCTTAGAGGGAGCACTGGTCACAAGTGCACGAACCCATTTGGCAAGTCCCCCTGCCGTACAACGAGAAGCAGTGTGGGGTAGTGGTTAGAGTGTCAGACTAGGACCAGTGAGAGCCAGATTCGAATCCCTCCACTGCTGTGGATGCTCACTGGGTAACCTTCGGCCAGTCCCAGCCTAGCCTACCTCACAGGGGTGTTGTGAAGATAGAAATGGAGGGGAGGAGACCGATGTAAGCCAGTTTGGGTCCCCGTCGGGGGGGGGGGGGGGGGAAGGCGGGGAATAAATGAAACCGGTCTGGAAGTTTGTGTTCTTTATTATTTTATCAGCACGGCAGAGATGCCAGCTTGAAAACCGTCACGCCTCATTTGCCATGGGAGGGGCGTTCTGGATGTCTGGCCCGCTGCCCAAGCCGAGGGCTAAAATAAGCCCCGCCGTCTGTCGCAAACTCCTGTCCGGATTCCAACATTCCGGCTGGGTCACCGGAGAAAGACGTCTCCCCGCATCACACTGCAGCAGGCGAGACCGCTTGAGGGGGCGGCTCCGCCGGGCGTTCCCACCGTGGGCTCGGCGGTCACAGCTAGTCCCCATCGGCATCGGGGCTCCTCCGCACAGAGCCCTTTCCCGCTCGGCTTCTCTTCCCCAAGAGATCACACGCGCCACCTTTGTCTCGGCAGGTCTTTCCAGCCGAGCTGCCGGACGCGATCCGTGGGATGGAGCCCCAGGGCTCAGCCAGGCTGAACTCCAGGAAGAGGAGGAAAGAGGGGGTCGGACCCAACGGGGCCACCGAGGCTGACGGCATCCCGACCAAGATGCCCCGGAACTGCTTGGTAAGTTGGGGCGTGGGGGAGCGATGGATTAGGTGGGACGTTTCTGAGCCGCTTGCTTGCACTTGGTGCAAATGAGCGGACCCGGAGGAGGTGCTGGAGAGGGGAGCTGGAATGCTCCAGGGGACAGTAGGAGGAAGGCAAGCCAGGGCTCCTTCAGCTAAGGAGGGGGGAGGCAGCAGGGCATGTTTGAGTGGGAAAAAGGATTTGTTCTTCCAAATTGAAACTGACATGGAGCAGACCAGCGAGAGTCCACCTAGTCCCGCATCCTGTCTCCCACAGTGGCCAACCGGTTCTTCTGGGTGGCTAACAACAGGGCAGAGAGGCTGAGGCCTTCCTAAGAACACCAAAAGAGCCCTGCTGGATGAGACCAGTGGTCCCTCTAGCCCAGCACCTTTTCCTCACACAGTGGCCAGCTGGTTCCTCTGGAGGGCCAAGAGCAGGGCAGAGAGGCTGAGGCCTTCCTAAGAACATCAGAAGAGCCCTGCTGGATCAGACCAGTGAGGGTCCATCTAGTCCAGCATCCTGTCTCACACATCAGCCAACCAGTTCCTCTGGAGAGTCAACAACAGGGCAGAGAGGCTGAGGCCTTCCTAAGAACATCAGAAGAGCCCTGCTGGATCAGACCAGTGAGGGTCCATCTAGTCCAGCATCCTGTCTCACACATCAGCCAACCAGTTCCTCTGGAGAGTCAACAACAGGGCAGAGAGGCTGAGGCCTTCCTAAGAACATCAGAAGAGCCCTGCTGGATCAGACCAGTGAGGGTCCATCTAGTCCAGCATCCTGTCTCACACATCAGCCAACCAGTTCCTCTGGAGAGTCAACAACAGGGCAGAGAGGCTGAGGCCTTCCTAAGAACATCAGAAGAGCCCTGCTGGATCAGACCAGTGAGGGTCCATCTAGTCCAGCATCCTGTCTCACACATCAGCCAACCAGTTCCTCTGGAGAGTCAACAACAGGGCAGAGAGGCTGAGGCCTTCCTAAGAACATCAGAAGAGCCCTGCTGGATCAGACCAGGGGTCCACCTAGCCCAGCATCCTGCCTCACACAGTGGTCAACCAGTCCCTCTGGAGGGCCAACGACAGGGCAGAGAGGGGCTTCTCATTGGCCATCAGCGACCTGCTTGGCTGTGCTGATGGTTCCATTGTCAGCTGCCACCACCGTGTTGGTTTTATTCTGTCTCTCTCTGCTCTCTCCCAGTGTCGTTTTTAAGTACCCTCTTATCCTCGTACTTCAGCTTTGTCTGTGTGGTTGGCATCGCTTCCTGTGGCAGCTCTTTTTTGGTTGCCCCCACATTCCGTGTCAGCATTCCAAAGGTGGCCACCGGCTCAAAAAAGGGGTGTCCACCCCTGTCCTAGCAGCTGCAGTGGCTCAAGTGGTTAAGACGCTGAACTGCAGGCTGTGGAAGGTCGGTAGTGCAGCAGTTCGAGACCCGAGTTGCTGCATGACGGAGTGAGCTCCGGTCTCTCGTTCCAGCTCCTGCCAACCTAGCAGTTCGAAAGCAAGAAATTGCAAGTAGATAAATAGGTACCACTTCGGTGGGAAGGTAACAGCGTTCCGTGCGCCTTTGTCTTTAGTCATGCCGGCCACATGACCACAGAAACGTCTTCGGACAGCGCTGGCTCTTCGGCTTGGAAACGGAGATGAGCACCGCAACCCTAGAGTCGGATTCGACTGGCTTTCGACCAAGGGAACCTTTACCTTACCCCTGTCCTACACAACTCTGCACCCTCAGGATTTTAAATTTTATTTTCTGGTTTCTCTGGTCCTTAAGGACACAAACGTAGTCTCCGGTGTATCTGTGGAAGACCTTGTGAAAGCTCAGTGGCCAGAAGGTGGAAAGGGATCTCCATTTTTCCCGGGCACTGACGCTTTAATAGCCAACTCCACTCCCCTGCACAGCTTTCAGGAGAAGAAGATTTGAATTTTATACCCCACTTTGCTCTACCTTAAGGAGGCTCAAAGCGGCCTTACAATCGGCTTCCCTTCCTCTCTCCACAACAAGGCGGGTTGCCAACTCAGCGTTCCCTCTAAGCTGAGTGAGTGTGAGCTAGCTCACAGTTTTTTGGCCTCCAGCCCACACATTCTTGTCTCAGCTCAGGGAGGAGGGCTCCCGAGCAAACTGACTTCTGCAGTAGCCAGATCGCACGCTCACAACTTTAATGCCGGTAGCTCACCCAGTAGAATTTTTGCTCACAAGACTCCACAGCGGAGAGGGAGCGTTGGTCGCTGTGTTAGTCGGTCTGTAACAGGAGAAAAGAGCAAGAGTCCAGTAGCATCTTCAAGACTTAGCAGTATTTATGGCAGGGGAGGAGCTTTCCCAAGTCACTGCTCGCTTCTTCAGATAACAGCTAGTACGTGAGCAGTGACTCACAAAAGCATCTCCCCTGCCGAATATTTTGCCGGTCTTTAAGGTGCTCCTGGACTCTCGCTCTTTTCTCCCCACAACAGGCACCTTGCGAGGCAGGTGGGGCTGAGAGAGTTCCGAGAGAACCGTGACTGGCCCAAAGCCACCCAGCGGGCGTCACGTGGAGGTGTGGGGAATCAGACCCGGCTCTTCAGATTAGAGTCCGTCACTCTTAACCACCACACTATGCCGCCCGTGTACATTTTCAGGCAGTTCTTGTCATTCCCCCCCCCCCTTTCAGAATGAAGAAGAGATTGGATTTATACCCCGCCCTTCACTACCCGAAGGCATCTCAGAGCGGCTAACAAACTCCTTTCCCTCCCCCTCCCCACAACAGACACCCTGTGTGAGGTAGGTGGGTCTGAGAGAGCTCAGACAGAGACTGCCCTTTTTCAAGAACAGCTCTGACAGAACTATGGCTTGCCCGAGGTCATCCAGCAGCTGCGAGTGGAGGAGTGGGGAATCAAACCCAGTTCTCCCAGATTAGAGTCCGCGCACTTCACCACGACACCAAACTGGCTGCAGTTGCATTTCCTCAGATGTTGGGGTGAGCCCTCCAAAGCGTGGCGCCTGATTCTCTTTCTTCCAAACAGCAGCGATTTGGTCTTTGTGACAAGTGTGGCCCAGGCGAAAGCGTAACCCTCGGGATTAAAGACCATGAACGGCTTTCTCCTTGCCCTCCCCAGGCATTCCTCTTCCCTCCGATCATTCTTTCCAGCTGCCGCCCGAGCTGAGTCCCTCCCACAATCTCATCTTCCCTGCCCAGCAGCCATCCTTCCGTCCCGGTATCGGATAGCTGCTTCGGCTGAGTCTGCTGCTGAGTCCCCTTTAGGGAAGGGCCACAGCTCAATGGTAGAGCAACTGCTTAGCATGCAGAAAGTCCCAGGTTCAGAAGTAGAAGAGGAGGAGGAGATTGGATTTATACCTCGCCCTTCACTCAGTCTCAGAGCGGCTTACAAACTCCTCAGAGCGGCTTACAAACTCCTTTCCCTCACCCTCCCCACAACAGACACCCTGTGAGGAAGGTGGGGCCGAGAGAGCTCTTGACAGAAACTGCTCTTTTTCAAGAACAGCTCTGACAGAACTATGGCTTGGCCAAGGTCATCCAGCAGCTGCAAGTGGAGGAGTGGGCCATCAAACCTGGTTCTCCGCGCACTTAACCACTACACCAAATTGGTGTACCCAAAGGAGTCTCAGAGCAGCTTACAAACTCCTTTCCCTCCCCCTCCCCACAACAGACACCCTGTGAGCCAGGTGGGGCTGAGAGAGCTCTGACAGAAGCTGCTCTTTTTCAAGAACAGCTGTGCCGGAACTACAGCTTGCCCGAGGTCATCCAGCCAGGTGCAAGTGGAAGAGCAGGGAATCAAACCTGGTTCTCCCAGATTAGAGTCTGCACCTTTAACCACTACACCAAACTGGCGCCTCCAGTTAAAAAGAACCAGGCAGTAAATTATGTTAAAGACCTCTGCCTTTGACCCTAGGGAGACGCTGCCGGCCGAGTAGAGAATACTGTGCTTGATCAGTCAAGGGTTTGATTTAGTAGAGTTAACTTCATGTGTTCATGTTGCGGGGGGGGGGTTGGCTCAGTGATAGAGCAACTGCTTGGCCGTCCAGAGGAACTGGCTCCAGTTGAAAGGACCAGGCAGTAGGTGATGTGAAAGACGTCAGCCTGAGACCCTGGAGAGCTGTAAAGAGGGTCCGTGGCTCAGTGGAAGAGCCTCTGCCTGGCATGCAGAAGGTCCCAGGTTCAATCCCCAGCATCTCCAGTTAAAAGGACCCGGCAGGAGGTGATGGGAAAGACCTTGGCCTGAGACCTTGGAGAGCTGTAAGGAGGGGCCGTGGCTCAGTGGAAGAGCCTCTGCTTGGCATGCAGAAGGTCCCAGGTTCAATCGCCGGCATCTCCAGTTAAAAGGACCAGGCAGTAGGTGATGGGAAAGACCTCAGCCTGAGACCCTGGAGAGCTGTCAAGAGGGGCCGTGGCTCAGTGGAAGCGCCTCTGCCTGGCATGCAGAAGGTCCCAGGTTCAATCCCCAGCATCTCCAGTTAAAAGGACCCGGCAGGAGGTGATGGGAAAGACCTTGGCCTGAGACCTTGGAGAGCTGTAAGGAGGGGCCGTGGCTCAGTGGAAGAGCCTCTGCTTGGCATGCAGAAGGTCCCAGGTTCAATCGCCGGCATCTCCAGTTAAAAGGACCAGGCTGTAGGTGATGGGAAAGACCTCAGCCTGAGACCCTGGAGAGCTGTCAAGAGGGGCCGTGGCTCAGTGGAAGCGCCTCTGCCTGGCATGCAGAAGGTCCCAGGTTCAATCCCCGGCATCTCCAGTTGAAAGGACCAGGCAGGAGGTGATGGGAAGGACCTCTGCCTGAGACACCCTGGAGAGCGGCTGCCAGTCGGAGCTTGATAGACCCAGGGTCTGATTCAGTACAAGGGCAGCTTTATGTCTTCATGTGCTTTTGGTGCAGACCTTAGCAAGCCGAAAATCCCAATCCTCTGCTGGGTATTATCTGTTGTTGGGCAGGTGGTCCGGCTCCGACCCAGAGGACCGGGATCTGGCGCTTCAGGATGTAGTGGGCTGGCTTAGACTGAGCCGACTGAAACGGAATCCAGTGAAGATGGAGCCCATTGCCAGCTTTCGGCGGGGCACCATTGGTGCCAGCGGCCGGGGGTCAGGAGCTTGGGAGTGCTCCTGGATGCCTCCTTAACAATGGAGGCCCAGGTAGCCGCCACTGCCAAGGCGGCCTTTTACCACCCACGGCTGATCAGGCAGCCGTTTCCCTTCCTCGGACGCAACGACCTTGCAACAGGGATCCACGCGATGGTCACCTCGAGATTAGACTACTGCAACGCTCTCTACATGGGGCTGCCCTTGTCCCAGATCCGGAGGCTGCAGCTAGTGCGGAACGCCGCGGCCAGGCTGTGGTTGGGTCTCTCTATAGGGGACACATCCAGCCTGTGCTGAGGACACTGCACTGGCTGCCTATAGCGTATCGGAATCGGTTCAAGGTGCTGGTGCTAACATTTAAAGCCCTACGTGGTCAGGGGGCCTGCCTACTTGAGGGACCTTACAGAGAACACTGCTGTCAGGGTCACAACATCGCCTGACCCTCCCTGGTCTGAAAAAAGCCAGGCTGAATGTCACCAGAAGCAGGGCTTTCTCAGTGGTGGCCCCAACCTGGTGGAATGAGCTCCCGGAGAACATCATTGCCCTGCGGGACCTCTTACAGTTCCGCAGGGCCTGCAAAACGGAGCTCTTCCACCAGGCTTTCGCTTAGGGGCCGCCACTGATGAGTGTGCCCTGGAACATCGTCTGGTCTGAAATTTTGGAACCCCCTCGGGCATGAGATTCCGTTGGACGCTACCCCTATCGTTGGATGGGATTCGGATGACCACCAATTTCTGTTGGGTTACTTGCAACTGGTGTTGTTTTAACTGGTATGGTATTTATTAATTGCTTTCACGTGGTTGTTTATACGCCATTTTAATGTCGTCGGCCGCCTTGAGCCAGATCTCTGTAAAGGCGGGATATAAATATAAACAATAAATCAATATTATTGTTAGCGACGGTCTCTCCACCCGTGTGTGCAGAGCTCTTTTTGTAGAAAAAGCCCAGCAGGAACTCATTAGCATAATAGGCCACACCCAACAGCAGGAACTCATTAGCATATTGGGCCACGCCCCTGATGGCAAAACTCATTAGCACATTAGGCCGCACCCCCATGTTACCAGAAGTGTGGTTATCCAGCTACTTATCCAGCCACACCCACCTTTTGCTTGTTATTCTGTTTACCTTGTTTGTTGTCAAAACCCAGAACTTTTTTTGTAGCAGGAACTTCTTTGCATGTTAGGCCACACACCCCTAATGTAGCCAATCCTAATGAGTTCCTGCTGTTGGGTGTGGCCTATTATGCTAATGAGTTCCTGCTGGGCGTGGCCAACTTGGGAGCTAGCTGGAACTCCGTTCCTCTGCGTTCTTGCCCCAAAATAGCCCTGCATGTGTGTGTTCCTTTGAGGTCCTTACAGTCCACGTGTTGGTGGCCAGCAGGAAAAGCAGAGTGGGAGAGGCTACCAAAGGAAAGAGAGTGAACAAATTCATACCTGTGGGGCTTCATTCATTTCACTTGGAGGTGAAGATTAAAGGGTCTGAGCCAAAGGCACTTTTCCACATGTCATAGACATTATCTTCTTGGACTTGGATGGAGCGGAGGTCCATCAGTGGCTCTTAGCCACAAGGTATAGATGGAAGACTCTGTCTGGGGCAAGTGATGCTCTGTATTCTTGGTGC